GAAAGAGGAGATAGATTTTTTCTGTAAAAAACTTTCAAAATGGCTATTTTTGACATTTTTTCTTCCGGAAAAGGATCATACATGAATCTATAATCACTAATTAATTTTTAAGAATCATTTTAATCATCTTCAATCTCCACAAAATCAGATAAAAAATTATGGTTTTAGGCCTGCAATTGTGATCGCGCCAAACTTTTTTTTCTGTTGATCAAAAATTAATTTGCAGTTCGGAATTGTTCTGTGGGAGAGCGTGAACTTTTCAATTTTTTTAAAAAGTTTTAGCTTTCAAACAACACTGTAATGATAAACTAAAATTGGATTTTTATTCAACGAATGATCCAAATCATAGAGATGTGAAAATATCATTTCTCAGATCTTTTTTCGAGAAAATCTTGTTTTATTTATAAGTGGAAAAAACAACAAAAAAAACAATTTTTAACAAGCAGAGTTCAAAACGGAAAGGAAAAAAAACAAAATGTCAATTAAAATGCTAAATTATATAGTTGAACAATAAAAAAAACCGTTGGTAAGCTTATCGGTACACAAAAGAAATTTTTTGGAAAAACAAGAAAAAGGTAAAATGGAAACGAAAACATTAATGATTTTTAGATCCAAAAGCCAGAGTTCAGCAGATAGTCTAAATTGCCACGAATCGTTTCCAATGGAACCTGGAAAAAAAATTATCGATCTTTTTTCTTGAAAAAGTCCTACCTCATCTTGGCTCTCTCCCAGCTCTACAATCTCCTTCTCCACTATTTTCAGTGCTTCGCCAGTAACTTCTTGTCCAAATGGAAGAATTAAAGACAGTTTAATGTGTCTGTATACCGTCTTGAGCGGCGAAAATTTCTCAGTTTGACGAGAATATCGATTTTTGGATCTCTTGATACTTTTGAGCATTGAATCGATAAAACTATTGAAATCCGCCACATTCAGAGTCTGAAAAAATGGAATAAAACGATTCTAGCAACTCTAATCCTTAACCATCTCCTTTTCCTCCATTTTAATCATCTCAATTGCTTGTGACGCCTTCTTCTGAACATCTTCTAGATCACAGTATAGCGCAGTGATTTCAATGTTATTTGCGAGCAATAGAACACGGATTTTTGGTTCTTCTGGATTATTGAGGACTTTTGGAGTGGCATCAGCAAGCAAATCCTCATCCATCATGGTTGATTCTTCGCTATGTTGAGCTCTTGGAACATCTGGAGCCGCGACAAAATCCTCATCCCATTCCTCGATTTTCACTCTTTTTGCACTTTCGGAGGACCAAGAATTCTGAGGACGCTTTTCCGGTTTTCTATCGAAACTTCTCTCGTTCTTCAAAACGGCCACGTCATCTATCTCTTGCTCATCGCGCTCGACGTCATTGACCCTTCCATTGATTGGACCGTTTTGAATTCTGGAATGTTCTGAATCCTGGCTATCAGAGACGTTCCTCACAGATTCATCTTTAGCATCTGATTCTTTTGAATCTGGATTATCACTATTGTCATTTGTATCTTTTGTTGGTTCCGGGTCAGTCGGTTGACTAGGACGAATTCTGAAAATTGAAAAAAAAAACGGAAAAATTTCATAAAATCGATTTTCTCACTCTTTAGATTTATTGGTGGGATCGAATAAGAGTGAACGCTGTCTTTTCGCAGTTAACAATGTTCCTTTAAAGAAATTTTCCTCTTCTTTATGATCAGATGATAAAATGACACTTCCGTCTTCAGAGCGAAAATACGAAATCCGTTTTGCTAGGTCTAGTTTGATAGTACATTTTGCTTCTCGTACTCTGAAAATATTAACGATTTTTGAATTTATAATTGTTTAAATTGTACATTTCTCATCGCTAACTGGGCAGCTAAAAATGAAGACCAAATGCACTTTTTCCAGAAATGTGTATCCTTCGGCAAACAATGTGGATGCAATTCTATTTAATCGTCTGTCAATTCTAAAGAAAAATGCATATTGAAAAATTCACTACAAAAACACAATACTAACGCTCTTTTAAAATCTGAGAGTTCCCTCATGTCCGGCATCTCATTTTTGCATTCTTTGCGCCAAAGCGCTAAGCTCTCTGGATTTTTGTATTCTTTGACGTTTTCCGAAATATATCTGAATGCTTCGTAGTAGCGTTGACATCTCATGATTTTAGGTGTGCTGTGAGCTGAAAAAAACTAGTTTTTTATAGAAATTTTGGGGAATTTTCGCGAAATTTCCAAAATCATAAATTCGAAAAAACAAAAAATTCCAGGTGGAGCCTTGATTAATTTTAAGCCTGTGCCTTTAAGCATACTGTAATATTTTTGGCGGGAGTTTAAAATCGAGTTTGTTTCAAGAATTCATCGAAAAACAATCACTCCCGCATCATTGAACATTTTTCAGTTTAAAAACCATATTCACCCTGCTGCAAACTTAATGATAATCTGTCTTAAAAAATGAATATTGTTCACAAAATCAAAATTCTTTTTAAATTATGTCAAATAAGGATTTCTCACACTCTTATATCGTTTTTTCTTGTTGTGTTTTCAGTTTTCTGATTGAAATAATGAATTTTTTATCATTCAAAACAAGCAAAATTTTCGCAAAAAACAATATTCGCTTCGAAGCCAGTCGACAATTTCCTTATTGCACCTTTGAACTACTGTAGTTTTTTTTTGGCGGGAGTTTAAAATAACCATTTTTTTTCCTGCTTTTCGGCGGGAATTTAAAATATAGTTTTTTTTTGCAAAAATTCGCATTTTCCATCATTCATCAGCTGATAAGAAAGACCTGCCGGGCCGTCATCATCACTGATAAGTTTGCACTTCGCTCCTGACTACTCTTTCGGTTCTTTTCTCTAATTCTCTTTTTTTTTTCTGAAAATCGATTTTCCTTTTTTTTGTTTCAGGGTATATTATAGACGGGAGGTTCCGTCGATTCCGTCGTTCAAAATTGCGGAATTTTTCATGGATGCCAATGATTTTCCGCGCCTTTTCTACACAAGTGTAAGTCGATCAAAAACCTCAAAAAACTAAAAACTTGGGGATTTGCAGATGCCCTCGAGCAGCACTTCAAATCATCGAATCGACCGATTGTCGTCTTCTTCTTCGTCTACTTTTCGTCGTGATGACTTCAGAAGACACTCAACGACGACGTCTTCAGAGAAATTCTCCACAATTTCTATCGGTGAATCTGTGAAATTGGAGGAAGAAAACGGAGAAATCCCAGAAAAATTTGTTCAAGAAGAGGATACTGTAGTGAAGACAGAAGAAACTCGAGGTGATTTTTTTTTGGAATTTTCGAAATTTTCGAAAAAATAATTTCCCAAATTTCATAAGTCATTTCTTGCTCAATTTTTTAAACATCGAATTTTATAAAAACTTTTGAAAAAATCCAATTTTTCAAAAAAAAATTTCAAAAATCTAAAAAATCGAAATTTAAAACATTTTACCCAATTTATAAACTTTTTCTACAGTATCCGACTGTGACTTCTCACTGACATTCTACACAGCTCACGTGACGTCATCTTCGATGCTCAGGTTAGCTTTTTTTATTTTTGGATTAAAATTTTCGAAAATTTCTCTCGATTTTGTAGTGCGAGAAAATCGAAGCGAAGGTCCCACAACGACAACTACAGTAACCTGAAAACATTCGAATTTTTCGGATTTTTTTACTCGACGTTCTCAATAAACTTTATAATTATTTCGAATTTCTGATTTTTAGGTTTCAGATTTTTTCAAATTTTAGAAATAAAAAAAAAAGTTTTGAATTTTTTTTCGATTTTCGGAATTTTTTGATTTTTTAAATTTTAGGATTTTTTTCAGGTAACTGTAATTGTCGTTGTGGGACCTTTAGTTCCAATTTTTTGTGCCAGAAAAATACCAAAATTGTTTTTTTTTCATTAAAAAACAAGAGAAAACGATAAAATTAATGAAGAACTATACGAAAAAATGAGGAAATTTCTTATGAATTATTCTGAAAAATGAGCTTAATTTCCGTCTTTTTCTTCCATTTTTGACCCTTATTTTTCACTAATTCTCTGTATCTCTCTACCCCCAAAAATTCAATTATCCGCCCCATCGGACCGCCCGTATGTCTTTTTTTTTGCTTGTCGAATTGAAATTTCGACTGCTTTTCTTTTCCCTCTCTCTCTCTTTCTGGAAATGTAGCCTCCCCACGGGAGACACTCTCGGCTCTTTATTATTGTTTTCCTCTATATACCGGTGTTCCTTTTTTCCTTTTTTGGTTGGAAAAATTTTTTGGAGCATTTTCTAGCTTTTTTGAGCTGAACACCTTTTTATCACAAAAAATGATAAAAAAATAGCTGAAAAACTGTCAAAACGCATTGAAAGAAAAAGCGAAGAAAAGTAAATTTTGAAAACTACAGTGAGTCTTAAAGGCGCATAACCAATTTTTGTTTTTCACGCTTTGCAGCGAAAAATTAAAAAAAATGTTTTCAAGCAATTTTGTCGGTTTATGCTGACTGATTTTTAGTTTCCGAGAAGAAAAAACAATTTTTACACTAGTTTACAACAAAAAATAACATTTCCCGAATTTCTTAGGCCCGGCCCGGCCCGGAATTTTACAAGTATGAAAAATAGCAAAAATTAAACCAAGACTTATACTGAAAAGAAAAGAAAAGCAAAAAAAAATATTTTTCGAAAATAACAGTAAGGGGGACTCCGACCAAAAATTTTTTTGCATTAAAATGTGTTAAAAGTTATCTGTTCTTCAAATATTATTGCGAAAAAAGGGGGACAAAATCGCGCCGCGCTTATGTAGACCATCGGTCGTCAGGCGCCTTCGCGCCCCCGTAGCTCAGCCGGTAGCGGCGCTGTACCCCTGAGCTGCCTGTCATGAGTTCAACACCTCATGGGGGTTCACTATGCAAAATATTAGGAAAAATTTTTTTGGTGTCTGGCCTCCTTTAAAAATTTCGAAAATTCCTAAAATTCAAAGTTTTCTCAAAACTTCAAGGGTTTCGAGAAAAAAATTCGGGAAAAATGGGTGGAGTTATTGGGCGGAGCCTGAAATTCCAGTGGTAGAAACATGCTGTTTTTGAAAATTTCATACTTGACAAATTTTTTTTGAAAACTGTATTCTGAAATTTCGATTTTTTTTGAAACTCTCAATTTTTCAAAAAA